AAGAGGATTGATAAGTTAATTGTCAGAGGTGTATTGTTAACGTGACAAATTAGGAGTGATACAAACTGAATTCATACTCCGTAGGGGTGATGATCGTCAAAAGTATAATGTTAACTCGATGATGTGAAAGATTCGTTACTCTTAATCCAGTGGATTCTAAGTAACCAACCCCCAGTCTTGATTAAGACTTAGCAGGAGAAGAAAAAGAGGGACAGACATGGCATATCGCCTTGTGGGTCACTATCTGACGAGTTTGATTATCAGAGGTAAATGTTAATATGAAAATTTTGATAGACCCGTCATCCTACTTGAAGAGGGTTGGTGGAGGAATTTGGAGGAAAATGAACTATCAGAAGTGATCATTAACGTGATAGTTTTGGTGGACCCGCCATCCTACTTGAAGAGGATTGGTGGGGGAATTTGAGGGAAATAGACTATCAAATGTGATCATTAACATGATAGTTTTGATGAACCCGCCATCCTACTTAAAGAGGATTGGTGAGAGAATTTGGGGGAAAATGGACTACCAGAGGTGATCATTAATGTGATAGTTTTGGTGAATTTTGTGATTGACAGATGTATTCTATTGAACATGACAACTCAAAAAAAAAAATTATTACTCATAATCCAATGAACTACAAATAAACCAACCCCCAATCTTGAACATGTGTAAGGGGGAAAAAGGGTAGACATGGCACCTCGCCTAGTGAGCCACTATCCATCGAATTTGACTATCAGAGGTAACTGTTAACGTGATAGTTTTGGTAGACCCGCCATCCTATTGAAGAGGATTTGCTTCAGTGGCCGTAGTATCTTCCCTTTCTGACTAAGAAGATTGGGCTTGATCCGATTGCTCAGGTTGATCCTACCTATTTTGTTCTTCAGCTTTGATCCTGACAATAATCTTTTGAGCCTGTTTACCTTGAGAGATTAATTATCTCCAAGAATAACATTCTACAACTCTCATTTGTGCTAGAAGGTCGGTCTGCAAGTTGTGTCGATAGGTCTCTACCAGTGTAGACTGTGTCATACATGTCGGACATCACAGAGCCATGTTTCGAAACCTTTTGACGAAGGCTTTGACGGACTCCCTATTCTTCTGCTTAGTGGCGAGAAGGGTATGCATGGAGACTTCTGTATCCTCTTCAAAGAATCTTAACAGGAAGAGTCTCTCTAGGTCCGTCCACTTTTGGATACATCCCGCAGGCAGTTTCCTGAACCATTCGAAGGCAACTCCCTTGATGGTGCTAATGAACAATCGAGCCAGTATGACATCGTTTGATATCACATTCCTAGTCTGTGACTTGAAATGATAGATATGTTGGTTCGATGATCCCGTGCCATCAAAAGTTTGTAGCATCGGGACTTTAAACTTTGGAGGATAAGGGGCTACATCTCATTCGACAGGATAGGGCCTAGCAACTCCCTCGTCTTGGAGCTCGTTTCTGTTAGCAATGGCGTTGAGGCGGGCTTCCAATTCTTCCATTTTGGCCGATTGAAGATTCTGCTCGTTCTTAGTCTCTCTTCCTCCATTAGAGGAAGATTCCAGGTTGTGGGCTTCTTGGTCAGAAGCCGCTCCATCAACCATTTTCCCCTCCCCTTTGCTTGTGTAAGGTCGGGATGAAGACGTTCTTCCTCTTCGGGAAGAATCTTTCTTTGGCGGCGAATTTGTCTTCTGAGATTTGGTCCTGTCTACGACATATTGAGTCATCAGGATCCGGAGTTCATTGAGGGTCTCTTGCTGTGATTTGAGCATGGTCGCCTGCTCATCCACCCTCTTTGAGAGATCTTCATAGTTTCCCGTCATATAGGCGGAGCTCTCATATTCTATGAAAGAACTAGATGATTGGTACTCCGCAATGGCTGAATGTTCATCATCGGAATTGGTTCTTCTGACTAACCTCCGATAGTTGACAAGGGGAATGGCTCATGTTCGCGTCCGAGTGCGTTGGTAGATTCCTTCAAGCTCGTTAGTGATTTCTCTGACGCTTGGAGAACGATCTGTCTCTAACTCGTCAGAACTAGGGATTGTTGATCTCCCTCTGCCGACTATGTTAGAAGTGACTCCAAGGTATTCATCCTATGAAGTCTTCTTCGTGTGAGAATGTCGTCGATTATTGAGCAAATCAATGTTCGTTGGTCGGTTGAACATTGACAGCAATTCCCGCAAGTCAGAGACTTGGATGAACCTCTCATAGAGCGTGAGGGTAGAGATGGAACCCTTTTTCCGTCAATGGATGGGACTGGTTCTTGGTAAACATGAATTTTAAATCCATGTTGATCTTTTTGAACACGACAAATCACATCACGTTCTAAAAAGGAACACGAGGGTCGTGTTTAGCTTGATTAACGCAAGACCGAAGTCTGTGTTTTGCTAGTGAAACACAGTCCTGCGATCTGCGTTTTGCTAATGAAACGTAGTCTTGGATGAGCATCTTCACCTCGTCGCTTTTGTGACTCGCTACCCGTCGCTTTAGCGCGGGTGCAGAACCTTTAACTCGGTGGACGAGTTTAGGAGAAGCCGAGCACACTCCTTCGGAGGAGGGGTTGTTCAAGCAATCTAATCCAAATGAGAGGACTTCCTTTGACGATTCGGCAGAGATTGGAGCTTTAGTCTTTTTGGAGATCTTGTGGACCTTACGCATAGCCTTGGGGCTAAGGGATCCGGAGGAGAGGGCCTGCTCGTACTTGGCTTGATCAAACTTCACTACGAGAGTCTCGACTGTTGTTCCAGCGAGCTTGACGTTGAATTGCACCACCACTTCTTCATCAGAGAAGCTAGTCCCCAGCAGAGTCGCCATCTTTTGTTCAGTGAAAAATTTGTAATAAGAAAAATAATGAAAGAAATTTAATTTGTATTCTCTCGATCTCGATTATAATTGAATTTCCTGATTACAAAAGAGAGGAGAATGAATTTGAACTCTCCCCTTTGTTTAGGTCTGGGTTCTTCACGGTGACGATGGAGTGCCTCCCTCGAATGTTCGTGTTGAGTTTGCTCTCCGTTGACGATCCGAACGTCTTGTTTCACTGGAACGTGATCTTATCCTTACGATTTGACGTTATGAAGAACTTGCGTGGTAAGTTTGAAAATAACTCTTAACGAGTTAATAACTCAGAGCGAGTTTTAGAAGAACTTGCAGAGCAAGTTTTAAACTCTGATCGAGTTGAGAAGAACTCTTAGAAAGAGTTCACAAGCCAAGCCGAGTAATCTCAAAGGCTTCAATAAAAGCCTTCCAAGATGATTCAAGAGTTTCTTTAAGTCGCTGATCTCCAAAGCTCCTTGTTGCTGAAGTTGAAGATGGATGAAGGTCGATCTCCTTTTTATGACTTTCTCATGAAAAAGTCTAGCCCCTAACTCGGTTGAGTTTACTCCTATTTATAGAGGATTAAGGGTTGTAACCGTCCCCTTAATTCGCTCCTAAGTGGGGCTGAATGGGGTGTAATCACCCCCTTAAACTGCTCCCCAAATCATGAGGAAAACGATTTTAAAACCGTTCAGTTCGTGCTTTGAACGAGTCAAACGCTAAAAAATAGCGTTCTGGGCCCGAACTCTGCATTTTAGACCTGAAATGCAGAGTTGGGCCTGTTTTAGGCTAAAAACGCACAGGTCGCGCTGCGCAGAGATGAACTTTGCATTCTAGACCTGGGACGCAGAATTGGGTTTTGCATGAACTCTGCGTTTTTTGACCTGGTAAGCAGAGTTGGGCTCTGCATGACCTCTGCGTTTTTATCGTTGGACGCAGAGTTGGACTATGCATGAACTCTGTGTTTTTTTCGTTGGACGCAGAGTTGGGCTCTGCATAAACTCTGCGTTTTTAGACCTGGGACGCAGAGTTGGGCTCTGCATGAACTCTGCGTTTTTGTCGGTTGACGCAGAGTTGAACTCTACGTTTTAAGTCCACGAACTCTGCATTTTGACTCTGTAATGGAGAGGCGAGCCTTAGGCGGGCTTGGCGAGCTTCAGGCTAAGTCCAATGTTCATACGAAATCCAGTCTTGCAGACGGACTTCAGAACATAACTTGCTGCGAAGAACAAGTCATAACTTTCAAATCGTAAGTCGGAATTGGACGAATTATATATAAAAATCGGCTATCTCGACGAGACGGAGCCGACCAAACCTACCTCATAGGGTTTGGTTTGCTCCATCAGTTTTGCCAAATTCCTTACTATTTGAGAGATATCTGCGTTTTGGTTTGAAGAGACCGTCGATTTGTAGTCTCTTTTGCTAGAGCGTTGCAAAGATCGTCATCTTGTAATCTTCGTCTTGGCTCCTTGAAAATGTGAGAGTCGTCAGATTGTAATTCCCGATATTGATTGTGAAGGCTGTTGATTAGAGCTTTCATCAGTTATTGCGAAGGTCGTCAGATTATAACCTTCATCAATCCACGTGAAAGTCTTCAAATTATAGTCTTCTGGAAGCCGTCAAATTGTAACTTCCATCATCAGTGTTTGATGGGAATCAGCTATCTGCAGTGATTTTTAGACAGCCTACAGTACCAAAGAGAGTATTGAGCTCACAACCAACCGCGAAGTCTTGGACCAGCTGCCAGAAAAGGATTAAACAAAATCAAGCACATGTAAATTGTAATTTGCCTGAATACCAAAATCAACATGACATTCACCTTCTCATGACCCCTGATATGTCTGTGGAAAATAACCGTCAACAGAGAACATATACAGTCTTGAATTAGGGATAAATATCTGCGTAACTTTAGGAATTCTAGGACCATCTGGTCATCTTCCCAAGGAGAAATAATAGACAAGGTTTATACACTTCACAGTTTTTAAGAAAATTTCACGGAGGAAGAAAATACCGTGAATAAGAAGAAAAGTTGCAAGAATTTGCACCAGATGCCCCATATAAATAGAGCAGACAGGGAGCAAAAGCTACAACTGAACCCTCAAAATACCTTAGGGTCATCTCAAAATCGCAACCCCAGTTTCTTAAACGACAGCTCATAGCAACAGTTTCATCAGAAGTAACCACAAAGATGCACAGGCAAAATTAAATATTGATATCAATTGATATGGCTAGCTTTGTATACAATGTTTTCTTTACATTTTCTTTTCCTTTTACACATTTACATTTTTAAATATCTTACCCCACACAATGAATTCCAGTACGAACCAATGAACAAAGAATGCAACCTTCTTGAACAAACTGCACTTACAAATCCAAGTACTGCAGCTGAAACTAATGAGGGAATAGGGATAGTGTCCCCATTACCAATAACCGAGCAGGAGCCAAAAATACAATGAACAATTGCACATTCCTTGAAGCAATAATCCTCCCAAATCTCTTCAAGGTGTCCTTCCCTCCATTAAACACACCCACAAAATTGAAATGGTGCTGATTACTGTTTGTCAGTCTAGCTCTCTGGCCAATAATGGCATCGCTGCCTTGAGTTGAAACAAGAGGCCACCACAAGATTCTTCGACTCTGTCTCTTGGCTTTCCTGATGAGCTTAAGCTCCCGACGAATCACACTACGAACAGATCTTAGATAAGCATCCATATCATGGTCTCTGTAGATTGTACCCTCAGAACCATAAGCTGAGCGATCACTAAGGATCTCAAGAGGGTGAGGAGAGTTGAGAAAGGCGAGTTGTGCTGATAGAAGATGCTTCATTGAATCATCGGAATTTGATAATGGGTGCCCTAAAAGATAGAGGCCACTCCCGGGTGGGAGAAGGTGATGATTTGGTGAGAATTTTTCTTCTGGTTGTAGGATCAAGAGCTTCCCCATAGGAGCATATAACAATTTCTGTGAGCAAGAAGGATTTAAAATGGTTAGAATCACAGTCTGCTTATAACAATTTAATGATTTTTTCTATAAAATGAGTAGACACATATTTCATTTGGAAAGAACATATTATCCACCAAATTCAGAAACCTTACTACAAAAGAGCGAGAGAAATCAAGTGTATGTACCAATTTTTTTTTTAATTGAAACTAAAGAAGTGCATTCTACGTATTGCCAAACTACAATAAATGGAAAATTTACCGAAAACTGGATAAAGATGAAATATCTCTCTTCAATATTATTTACATATCATCTAACCTTGCAAAGATGCAGTAATAAAATCAATAATTAGTTTCAAAAAATCATAAGCGAAACAAAGTATTGTACCTGATGTTGGAGACACGGATGATTACGGAAATTTCCATTGACAGCTTTAAGAATCTTAGCTACATGATCTGGATAATTACAAGAGAAGGCTCTTGGAACAATGTCTCTGTGCATTGTAATAGCTTGCACATGAGTTTGAGGTAATCCCAACTTGCGAAGTAGATAATCACCTCCACACATAATGGTTGGTGCACCAAATGTAATTACAGGCAGTAAAGCCGATGATGGCGCTTCTCCTCGTATCAGCAGCATTAGATTCACAAGCAAAGAGAGGCTTCCACCAAGAGAATGCCCAGTGAATCGAAGAGTAGCGGAGTCCCCTCTAGCTTTTAAATGAGCTTTCACTTCTGGTAGCATTTGCTGGTAGATACCTTTGGCAGCTTCATAAATACCCCTGTGCACGAGTACATCCAATCCCTAGATTGCAATAGGCTTCATAAGACAAGAGTTTGTTTCCATAGCCAAAAAAAATATTAAATAAAATTTTGATTAGCCTGTATTCTAAAGAACTTCTCAATTGGTCTGGTCCCTTGTTTCAGAATTTTCAATTTAGAAAAAGTTTTTATATCGTCTGGTTGATAGATTTTACTTTCATACTTTTTTGAAAATTTAACTTTTAGCTCAAAATATGTTTGACTGTAATTATCTTCCAACTAGCATTTCATTTCAAATGTGGGAGCTAAGCTGTCCCCACTTAGGTGCACTTCAAATGTTTAACTCTATCTCTGGTGGTTGAAACTAAGTTCCAACCTCACCTAACCGAAAGCTTTGACCATTGATTAATATCATGCAATTCAGTCAAAATTTGTACATCTTTTTTAAACTAAATGAGACATAAGCAGTGTTAGCTACCTCAAACTGAATGGGCTCAAATAGAAGATTTGCTTGCCAAGATGCCAACGACTCAGAACCCTGTGCATTGCCACGTTTAGCATCAGCATCCAATTACAACTTATTGTATGTAAATGAAAAATGGGAATAAGAACTCAACCTGAATGATGAAATATCTCGTGCCACTTTTGTCATCGTCGCATATATACCACTCACTGGGAGAGGATTGTGCAGAGCTCAAATCCTTGGCAACAGCTTGCTTCATTTCTTCTTTACCAGCAACAACTGCAGTAACTGAGTTCGTTGTGGCCACAAAAGATGCCATCTCCGAACATGAGATTGCGTTCTCGTCTTCACTGTCCTTTCCATCCTTTGCCTTTGGAGCTCCAAAGGGAATAATGCTCTTCGTTTGAGATTGAACAAAGGAGGCAGCAGCTGCAGCTATATGATAAGCAGTAGACGGACTTATAATAGGAGTCTTTTTGTTTTGTTTTTCATTATCTTCTGCTACTGTTGAAGACTCTGAACTTGTAACATTATTGGGCAATTTTTCCTCTGGTTTATTAGGATCTGGTGTCTTCTCCTCAGCATTTGAAGATTTGGCTCTCTTTTCTAGTGATGAGGTGATGAAACGAAGACCGTGGTATTTAAGAAGGCTAGCTGGCTGAAAGAAGAACAAAAGTTACAAACAATGAGATCAGTCATCGACAAATGAGAATTATCAGAGCGTACAACTGAAAGTAAAATAGATAATAAGCGATACAGTCTTTTTAGGAGTACTGCTTGTCACGTGACAGATTGTTTCCTATTAAACATCAACTTAGGTTCCTAATATCTAATCAAAATGTAAAAGATCAAACTTTTCAGCTACGGAGCAGAGGTCAAATGTGTCCATTGTCTCAAATCACGAATCAGAATAAGACATCAAAAACCCAAATGGTTTCCTTTAAAAGTCAAATATCCTGCAATTGTTTGAGAATTCTAGCATAATAATTTGTCGGAAACTTCCTTTAAACCTGCAAGCCTTTCCAAAATCCCAAAATAATAATAATAATAATAATAATAATAATAATAAACTCAAATGGGTATTTCAAATAAAATATAATCCACAAGTATCTGACTTTAAATACCTGATATCTATATCAGATTGCAAAAGATCAAAAATTTCAGATATGAAGCAGATATTATCAAATCACAAACTAGAACAAGACTCCCAACATCCAAATGATTTCCATCAAAAACCAGAAACACCTGATATCCTGCAATTTTCCAGAACTCTACCAAAATTATTTGTGGGGAAAAGGGCTAAAGCTTGCATAATTTGATGAATCATGCTGCATTGATGCCAAATCTCTTATGATCAGAAAAACTCCTTCAAAGCTACAAGCATTTCCAAAAATCCAAAATACAATACAAAACTTAAATGGGCATTTCTCCTTCCTTATAAAATAAAACAAAATTGAATCAAAGAGGAAAACCCAGATGCAAGCATTCACAAATGACCAAAAACAACAATTAATCAAAACAATTTCGTACCTTGATTTTTGGAATAGAATAAGCCAAGCGCCCAAGATACGACATCTTCGCATAAATCTCCATCTCAACGATCGACACTCTCCTCAACAACCTCGAAAACGAATCCCTATCAAAAACCTCTCTCTCTTCATCATCGACAACGCATTCATCGCAATCCAAACATCTACTATCTGCACCCAAACCCTCAACCAGATCCTCACCCGCATCAACAGCAACCTTCTTCTCCCTCCCCTTCTCCCAAGTCGACCCAACCCTTAGAATATTCAAAACCCAGTTCCCCCTTTTCCTCCTCCCCTCGACCTCCTCTGCCTCGGCCCTGGGACCCGCCACGCTAACCTGCGCCGCTGGAGATTGGTGTCGCCCGGCAGCTCCGCTGGCGGAGATTGGCATGGGTGGCAGCCCCCGAACGAAGCGGAGAGAATCCATCGACGATCTTCGACCAATTTTTTTCCCTTTTTGATTTCGGGTTTGATTTTTTGATTTTTTTGTTTGCCTTGTTCCGAAAGTGAAGCTCCCCAAAAAATGGACGCGTGAGAACTCGAGATCGCTGGCGCTGGCAATTTATAAAGGGGAAGCCCGCTGCCGTTTGTGAGATCTTTCGGTTGGTAATTTAAGGGGGGAATGGGAAGGGGGGCCCTTTTCTTTTGTAATAAGAAATTCTTTTCTATTAGGATTTTTTAAAAAAAAAAAATTCTTTCGCTTTATGTTTCTAGTCAAAAGTTATTATTTTAATAAGGGTTGATTTTAAAAACCACCCTGAACTTTAGGGGGGTGTTGCACATAACCCCCTAAATTTTGTTTATCTCACTTAACCTCTCTGAACTATAGGTTATATGCTTGTCTTGCAAAATCCCCCTACACTTTACCTCATCCCACCTAGCCCCCCCCCCTCCCCACACCCACTTATAACCTTCAAATAACTAATAACTTCTTGAGGGAGAAAGCTCAATATTCTGGAGGAGGGAGTATATTTTATGTAAATAACAATTGATAAAGTTTAAGATTTATTCATTTAAAGATATTTTAGTTATTTAAAAGTTATATGCAGGGGTGTTAAGTGAGATAAGATAGAGTTATGAGGGTTTTGTAAGACACCTCATAGTTTAGGGGGGTTATGTGAGATCAGCAAAGGTCGAGGGGTTATGTGCAGCAACCCTCGAACTTTAGGGGGTTTGGTGAAATTAACTCTTTTAATAAGGCTAAATGCCACCTAAATACTTTATTATTTTGTCACATTTGCATTTCAATATTCTAAGTTATAAAATATTACACTAAATATTCTAAGTTGTCCACATTTGCCATGTTAATACCTTCTTTTAGTTGCACGTGAGAATACTTCATGTGCTTGTCACATGTTGCTTTTTGATGTGTTTTGACTCTATTTACTATTGTATTTACTTCTTTTCCTACCCTCTTTTTATTTCAACAGAGGGACATTTTGGTCTTAACATAGAAAATTTAACGTCATTTATGAAATTTTAACAATGGACTACTCCAGGTATTTATATGAGACATTTTACAATTTAGGGTATTTAAGTGCAAGGATAGAGGGGGAAATAGGGTATCTAACTGTCATTCCCACTTTTAATAATGTAATAATAATTTTGTCTATTTGACCCCCCATGTTGAAATTTAGAAATACAAAATTATCCCCCCCACCCCCCACCCCACCCCACCCCCGCCAGGGCTCTCTTTTCATGGTAGGATCCTTTTTTCAATGTCCATGACAATGTTTAAGATCTATATATAAATGTTTTTTGATATCTTTATTGTTCATGAAAATTCACTTAAACTAAGGAATCAGAAAGAGGCTAAATCTATAATGTTGTTTTATTTATGAAGCAATTATATATTAGTGACTAATTTTAGAAGGACAAAATGCATGACAAAAAGGTATTAATAGTAAAAAGATGAAAAGTTACATAGCTAGTATTCGTCAAATATTACCATTTTGCAGCAGCTAGGACAATAAACTTAGCTACAAGATTGTGCATGTGCTTGTGTGCACACATGCATAAAAATTTAAATTACAAAACAATTTTATCCTTTTCTTTTAGAAAACTATTAGGTGGTCCATATATCGAAGTTTTTAAATATGATTAACATTTTCCGAAGTAAGTTATGTTTTTTTCACATGGATTAACTAAATTAACTAAAAATAGTTATTTATACATTAGTCCCTTATATCTCCCATAATTCCATATTAGTCACTCAAATCTCAGCGACTCCCTCAAATCCTAAGGATCCTGCAATTTGGTCCATCAATGACAATAATTTCTCAACTAATTATATTTTCCTTGGATGGTCATTTACAATTTGACACTCTAAGATTTACATCTTTTTTAACTTTGATGCCTCAAAGTTTTTTTTTAAACATTTTGATATCCTAAGTTTATAACATTTTTTAAAGAATTTGATACTCTAAAGTTTTTTCTTCGACACTTTGATACCTAGACTTTACACATTTAAATTTCATACCCCAATGTTTTTTCATATTTTTTAAACTTTGATTCCTCAAAATTTAATTTGATATCTCAACCCGCGTTCGGGGTATTAAAGTGTCAAAAATAAAACTTGAAGTATCAAAGCTAAAATATAAACTTTATATCAAAGTGTCAAACAGGCTTTAAGGTATCAAATTGAACATGAGTAAAGTCAGGCCCGACTCTGGAGCTGTGCGGGCTGATCCACCGCGCAAGGCCCCCTAAAATTGGGGGCCCAAAAAAAACAAAATATGCAAGTGTATTTGTCCTATAAGTAGCAAGGTAGCACATCTCTTTTCCCAATACTTCACTATAGCAATGACATGCTACAGTGAAGGTAAGCACAGATACAAGAGAGATCCCATTTCTTATTAGATCGGCCAAGTCCTAGCCCATCTCTTTTCCCAAGGCTAGCAGTCTAGCACATCATCCCAAGTACTAGCCCATCTCTTTTCCCATCGGCCATCACATCCAAAAAAACAAATTATGCAAGTACTATTTTCTTATTAGATCTCAAGAACAAAATTCTCTCTCATTAAGAAAAAAAGAAAAATCCAAGAATCGCAGCTCAAACGAATCGAGGGGAAGGAGAAAGAGAGATCCCAACTCAGTTGTAGGTATTTACATCCATTTACTCTCTGGATCTCTGAAGAGAATCGATTCATTTGATTATCTAATCACGTTTCTCCTCCCATCTTTAGGGTTTTGATTTAATGGATCCAAGAAATTATATTTGTTTCGTAGTTTTTTCCTGATTATGATTGTTGACTATAGAGAGATTTTGTTGGGTTGCTCATGGAGTCACATTTTGTCTGCAAAATTTTCCAGTTTTGCTTTGAAAATTAAAATCTTTTTAATTAATTGTCATCACCAAATATACTGAATAAAAATGTTGAATCTACGAGGATATATCTATGGCTGTGATTTCATGAGATTTCATACACATTTTTTGCATAAAAATTACTGTTTTTAATTCAAAATCAACGCCTAATATCAAAACATTTTTTTAGGTTCGTTTTTTGGGATCGACTCAAGGGACTGTTCAAAATGAAAATTCGTTGAACTTTTCTTCGAAAAGGGAAAAAAGCAATTTTCATGACTCAGAAGGGTTTCTTTGTTTCAAGCGTAGCCATTTGCAATGACTTTATATAACAACTAAAAGGAAATTTTCATTATGAGAAATCGCTATGTATTTTCACTGTGGTATTTAGGTTGTTAATATATTATATATATACCTCTATTTGAACTATTTTCTTTCTTTTCTTATGAATTCTTTCTTTCATATTACAGGTGGGACCTTGGGAAGAGGAAAGTCAACTATCTTTTGCAAACTACTCGAGTACCTCTTCCACTTGATTTAAGGCTTCAAATTAGGTTGTATTGTTCCGAATCCTGACTTCTTTCAATTTGATTGTAATATTTTTTATTTTATTATAGAAATGCCTCCAAGAAAGTATCCTTCTGGATATGATAAACGTAAGAAAAAAGAAAAATTGAACGATTTGTCCAAACTCAAAGTGGAGCGCTTGATAAATTCATTGTTAGAGAAATACAATTATATATATATATATATATATATATATATATACCTCTATTTGAACTATTTTCTTTCTTTTTCTTATGAATTCTTTCTTTCACTTTACAGGTGGGACCTTGGGAAGAGGAAAGTCAACTATCTTTTGCAGACTACTCGAGTACCTCTTCCACTTGATTTAAGGCTTCATTTTAGGTTGTATTGTTCTGAATATTTTGAATTCTTTCAATTTGATTGTAATATTTTTTATTTTATTATAGAAATACCTCTAAGAAAGTGTCCTTCTGGATATGATAAACGCGAGAAAAAAAAGAAAAATTAAACAATTTGTCCAAACTAAAAGTGGAGCGCTTGATAAATTCATTGTTAAAGAAATACAAGATTTAGTTAAAAATTCAATTAAAAATTATAACATTAATGATTTGGGCCTGAATGAGTATGAGAATGAAAATGTTGATGATCAAAGTAAAAATAAAAATAATAATGAAAATGAGAATCAAAATAAAAATGAGAATCATAATGAAAATAAAAATGATAATGAAAATGAGAATCAGAATAAAAATCAAAATGAAAGTAAAAATGAGAATCAGAATCAGAATGAAATTGATATTGACAATGAAAATGAAAATGAGAATGAAAATATTTTAGGCAATGAACAACCTAATCAGTCCATACTCATGAATTTGAATATTTATGATCCAAGAACTTGGGATGATTTGGACACAAAATCTAGAGATATATTAGTAGAAAATGGCTATATAAGAGATCTATTAGTCGAAAAAGTTCCTAAAGATAAATTAGGAAGATGTTTTTCTTTGACATTTTACACTAGACGTTTATCAAATGGAGAGAAATACAATAGGGAATGGTTAATTTATTCAAAGGATATCGATAAAGTATTCTATTTTTGTTATAAATTGTTTTAAAATGGTTTTAAGAAAAGTTTTTTAATAAATGAAGGATTTAATGATTGGATACATCTTAGTGCTAGGCTTAAAGTACATGAAACAACTAATGAGCACATCATTAACATGAGCACTTGGCTTGATTTATGCATAAGATTAATGAAAAAAAATAAAACAATCGATAAAAATATTCAAGAGCAAATTAATAAAGAGAAGGAACATTGGAGCAAAGTATTACAAAGAATAATTTTTATTGTTAAATATCTTGTTAAACATAACTTGGCATTTCGAGGAACAAATGAGAAAATTTATCAAAATAATAATGGAAATTTTTAGGCCTAACTGAAATGATTACAGAATGGGATCCAGTAATGCAAGAACATGTTCGATGCATTGACCATGGTGAAATTCATTATCATTATCTTGGTCATAGCATTCAAAATGAATTGATAAGTATGTTATCTTCTAAAATCAAATGTGCAATAGTTCAAAAAATTAAAAAAGCTAAATATTTTTTAGTTATACTTGATTGTACTCCGGATGTAAGTCACCAAGAACAAATGACTTTAATATTACGATGTGTCGATATTTCTACAAGTCCGATAAAAATAGAAGAATTTTTTGTAGAATTTTTAAAAGTAAATGAT